TTTGAGTAGAGTTTAACTCCTGGCGACCTCATAAATATGTCCAGATAGAAGGGGTTGGGGTTTGGGGGTTTTTTTTTGGGGGGGGGGGGGGAAACACAGAACTGATTTACCGTTGCCTTCTAAAAATGTTTCTTGACTTCCCATCTCAATCTACAGCTCTATGATCTACTATGGTCTCCCATACAAATACCGACCAGGTCCAGACCTGCTTAGTTTTTTTGCAATCAGCAAAACAATCAGTTTAACAAAGTGGTGCCACTTGATACTAATTGTTTAGTACAGATTTCTACCCAGTATTGTTTTCAAGATGTGCTGAATTCTACAGCTCCGAGAATTTATTTCCAGTATAAACTGTAATGTAGCGGCAGCAACATTCCAGGCTTAGAAATTAGCATCCTTATCTGAAGCAGAAAGAAAACACAGGACTTAGTGTTCAAAACAATCCCTCTACATATCACAATTGCACTGATAAAGTGTGATAGCAACTCAAAACAATATGACTCATCCAGAGTCACCGTGAGTGGGGCGGTTGTATACATTTTCTTAATAAAGATATATAAACCCTCAACTTGGAAATTTGACAGACTGTAGCAGGATATTTTTGTTTGGATGTGAGGGATCGTTGCAATTCTTTTCATATCTCAGGCCACACTTGTGTGTTGACCGCAATTATTAACATATCTTCACTGTGCTGTGTAAATTGACACTATGAGACTGGTGTACAGTAGGATCTGCAAGTATTCAAATAAGGCAAGAAGATACAAGGAGAGCTTTGTTGAAAATGTAGATTATTTTTTAAAGGAGAAAAGAAGCAGATTGGCAGGTAGGTCCTTCTGGTCCCTGCGTACGCAGGACAATGAATTTTGTTGGTGAACACACAGCAGGTGGTAAGGATTGATTGTAATTAAAGATGTCTCCTGATAGTGCTACTATCAATCTGCAAAATTTAGCAATAATTCGGAAGAAATAGGGTGACAAATAATGCTTGTTTTAAAAGACATACAAAGATATACCCATTATATTTACAACATGGCTGCAATACTTGTTCTGATCAGTTGTTTGACCAGTTGATCTTCTGGATCATCCAGGTCTCCATTTGCCTTTCTGGTTTCAGCTCTGCTTAATCAATTGGGGTTAAACAGTTTCCGTCCTAGGAATTCAGGAGCGTTGGTAAAGCCTGTGCACTTTGCACCTGGGTGTTGGTGAATGGCTAATGTGGCAAACCTAACCATTCCTGCTCCTTCCCTACAGAGCCAAGGGACACCATGGGGGTGGACTTCGACGTGAAGACTTTCTGCCACAACCTGCGGGCAACCAAGCCACCCTACGAATGTCCTGTGGACACCTGCCGCAAAATCTACAAGAGCTACAGTGGCATCGAGTACCATCTCTACCACTACGACCATGACAATCCACCGCCACCCCAAAACACCCCTCTGCGCAAGCACAAAAAGAAAGGCCGGCACGGCCGCGCAACCAACAAGCAGTCGCCCAGCCCCTCCGAGACTTCGCAGTCCCCAGGGCGGGACGTTATGACTTACGCGCAAGCTCAGCGCATGGTAGAGGTGGATCTGCATGGCCGCGTGCATCGCATCAGCATTTTCGATAACTTGGATGTGGTGTCCGAGGACGATGAGACTCCCGAGGAGGCCCCGGAGAACAACAGCAACAAGGAGAACACGGAAACGCCCTCGGTGGCTCCCAAAGCCGGAAAGCACAAGAACAAGGAGAAACGCAAGGATTCCAACCACCACCACCATCACCACAGTGCCTCAGCTGGCAACACACCTAAGCTTCCCGAGGCTGTGTACCGAGAGCTGGACCAGGATACCCCCGATGCCCCACCTCGCCCCACTTCTTATTACAGGTAATAAGTCAGTTCACCGCAAGCAGAGTCCCGTGGCTCAGAGAGCTTGAGTGGGAGGGGCAGAGGATCCTTTAATCTGGAGCCTCAGGTAGGGAGAGGAGGGCTCCTCCAGGATGTGTTTCCCTCTCATAAGGTGGCCTCCGGGATTGGGCGGCCTATAAACCTAATGAATTTAATTGACTGCACTTTGTTCCGGTTTGGAGACCAAGGTAATCTGTTTTCAGGTGGGGGGGGGGCAGTAAGAAGACAGAAGGGGGGACAGAAAGAAGGGTCTTTCTGTTTGGTAAGTGACTCCATTGCGATACAGGTAGTCCTCGACTTAAGACAACAGTGGAGGCCGAAATTTCTGCTGCTGAGTGAGATAGTTGTTACTTAATGGAGTTTTGCCCTGTTTTACGATCTTTCTTATATCACAGTTGTTGAGTGAATCCCTGCAGTTGTTAAGTTGGTAACACGGTTGCTAAAGTGAATTTAACTTCCCCAAAGTTGGCTTTGTTGTGGGAAGGTCACAAAAAGCAGATATTCTCCATTCCCTTCCCTCTCTTGTTTTGATTTAGAAAAGTATCTGGTACTGAATGAAACTGATACATTGTGTCTCCCTCCCCCAATTGTAACAACATTGTTCAGCCTGTTCCTCTCATCTTCAGTAGCAGGAGTTCTTAGCTTTAAAGGTTTCCTATTATGATATGGCGTTTTCTTTCTAAGGAAGAAAAAAAGTGAGATACACATATACATCACACAGGTCATGACTTTGTGGGATAAATGAAGCAAAAGGCACATTTTTTTGGCATTTGCACCATGACATACTGACACAAATTACATGATTTGTATCATTTGTGCTTTGTTATATCACTGTGACTTCTAATGGCTGTGTGTGTGTGTGTGTGTGTGTGTGTGTGTGTGGATGGATGGATGGATGGATGGATGGATGGATGGATGGATGGATGGATGGATTGTCATCAAGTTGGTGTTGACTCTTGGTGGCCACGTAAATAGATTTTTCTCCATAATAATCTGAACCTAACTTAACCTAACTTCCGTCCATTGCCACTGAGTCCCTCCACGTTGCTGTTTGTTTTCTTCTCCTTCTGTCTCCTTCCACCTTTCCCATCATTAGAACCTTCTCCAGGTTAGATGGGTGTAGGGCAGAGATAAAGTACAACTAGATGTGGGGTTCATTATTATGGTTCTGCAATCAGAGGAAGCAATAACTGATCCTTGGCCAACTTGACTAGAGACTCTCTGGCACCGCTATTGGACTTTTAACTATCAGGATTCTGGGAAATGAAATCCAGAAAACCTGAAGGGAACCAGGCCGAGTTAGAACTTACTGGAGCAGGGCAGTGAAGTGATGGTAACCCTTTCAGACCGCTTAAAGTAAGTGTAAGGATGCTCAGTAATAGATAGCAGCTCTGTAAACCTTCTAAGACTCCCATTTTCCTCAGCCTTGCACTTTCTCTCTCTCTCTCTCTCTCCTTTTAGATACATTGAGAAGTCAGCAGAAGAGCTGGATGAGGAGGTTGAGTACGACATGGATGAGGAAGATTACATCTGGTTGGACATTATGAACGAACGTCGGAAGACAGAAGGTGTCAGCCCTATTCCTCAGGAGATCTTTGAATATCTAATGGACCGGCTAGAGAAGGAATCCTATTTTGAGAGTCACAACAAAGGTGACCCAAATGCCTTGGTAGACGAGGATGCCGTCTGTTGCATTTGCAACGACGGGGAATGTCAGAATAGCAACGTCATCCTTTTTTGTGACATGTGTAACTTGGCTGTGCACCAGGAATGCTATGGGGTCCCTTACATCCCAGAAGGCCAGTGGCTGTGCCGCCGCTGCTTGCAGTCGCCTTCCAGGGCCGTGGACTGCGCCCTGTGTCCAAACAAAGGCGGCGCCTTCAAACAGACGGACGATGGCCGTTGGGCCCATGTGGTGTGTGCCCTCTGGATCCCCGAGGTCTGTTTTGCGAACACGGTGTTCCTGGAGCCCATAGACAGCATAGAACACATCCCACCAGCCCGCTGGAAGCTGACCTGTTACATCTGCAAGCAGCGAGGCTCTGGGGCCTGCATACAGTGCCACAAAGCTAACTGCTACACAGCCTTCCACGTTACCTGTGCTCAGCAGGCTGGGCTCTACATGAAAATGGAGCCTGTCCGAGAAACGGGGGCCAACGGCACTTCGTTTAGTGTCCGGAAGACAGCTTACTGTGACATCCACACGCCGCCCGGCTCAATGCGACGCTTGCCTGCCCTCTCCCATAGCGAAGGGGAGGAAGAAGAAGAGGAGGAAGAAGAGGATGGGAAAAGCTGGAGCTCAGAGAAGGTGAAAAGGGCCAAGGCTAAATCCCGGATCAAAATGAAGAAGGCAAGGAAAATCCTGGCTGAAAAGAGAGCAGCTGCCCCGGTGGTGTCAGTGCCCTGTATACCTCCCCACAGGTACGGCAGCTGTCATTCTCAGATTCTTTATTTGACACATGTCAACTATGTAGATAGAGCCATTGGAGTGCCGCCTTTGTTTGTAACAATGAGATTACCATTGGGGATTTTCTGAAACTGAGAAGAGCTAGATTCAGAGGGATCTTACGTTTTGGTCAGCTAATCAGGAATGCATGTAAGAACTGTCTTTGTCTGCAGTTGCACCAGTTACACCAGCAGGGTTCCTTAAAATAAAGTAAGATGCACATTTTATAAACATATAAAATAGCCCCCTCCAAGTAGAGATACATTTGGTAGCATTTTAAATAGCGATAACATTTGTACATATTTAGTTACAATAAGAGAGGTTGACCAGCATCATTCGGAAACCGTTGCAGCTAAGCGTGAATTTGAACTGTTCCTTTCCCCCCTTGTAATCTTTGAATATACCTGTATATCTGTCTGAAGGTATAGCTGCTATGCTCCTTGGGGGCTGTGTTTGGTGAAATTCATTTGGTAGAATATTTTGGATTTCTTCTCTGCTGGGCTTTCCAGTAAGATAACATATTTTTGTTTTGTTAGTGTGGAATAGCATTTGGAAGGGTTTGTTCATTCTTCTTCTAAGCAATCATTTCAGATGCAGGAAATAAACAGATGGTCCTTGATTTACAACCACAATTGGGATTGGAATCATCATCATGGTGGTGACTATGAGTTCTGCAACCTGATTTTGCAAGCTTTTTTGCTCTTCTTCTTAAGTGAATCATATACAGGTAGTCCTCGGCTTACAACCACAATTGAGCTCCAAATGGCTGTTATTAAGTCAGTTTTGCCCCATTTTACGACCTTTCTTGCCACAGTTGCTAAATGAATCACTGTAGTTGTGAAGTTAGTTACGAAGTTGTTAAGTGAAACTGGCTTCCTTATTGATTTTGCTCATCAGAAGGTCGCAAAAGGGGATCACATGACCCAGGAACCCCGCAATGGTCATAAATGTGAGGCAGTTGCCAACAGCCTGTATTTTTATCAGCTGACCATTGGGATGTTGCAATGGTCATAAGTCATTTATTTCAGCACCGTTGTCACTTTGAACTGTCACTAAATGAACTGTTGTAAATTGAGGACTACCTGCACTGGTTAAGTGACTCTGGCTTCCTCATTGAGTGTGTTGTCAGAAGACGGTTTGGAAGGTCGGAAATGGCAATTATGTGACTGTGGGATGGGGCAAAGTTTATAAATATATGCTGGTTGCCAAGCACCTGAATTTTGATCATGTGACTATAGGGACGCGGCAATGGTCATAAATGTGAGGACCAATTATAAGTCATTTTTCCCCCAGCACTGTTGTAACTTAAAACAGTCATTAAGCAAATGGTTGTACGTTGTGGACTCCACGCATCCGACATCCTCTTTAAAGCAGAATTGGAGTTGCTTTCAGCTCTCTTGAGAAATGTATTAATGGACTGAGAACCCAAAGCCGCTGCTTGCACAATCAGTTTGGCAGCAGTGCTAAACAGAGTTGCTTTCTGGAATCTCTTGACCTTGTTCTTTAATTTGGCACTTCCCTCCCCATGAAATTCTCATAAGAAAGCAGCCCAGATGTATCTGGTTTGGCCTCTCCTCCTGTCTACATGCTGGCCTCCCACTGTTATCATCCTAACTGGTGTTGGGGAGAAGGACTGAAAGTGAGGTGAATGCAGAGGTAGTATTCAGCTGGTTCGTACCGGTTCGCCTGAACAGGTTGTGGCTCCAGATGTCCTATGTAGCCTCGTTTCAATTCCGCGCGCATGCACCAAAGACTCGCGCCCCTGGGTGAATGGGCATTGCCTGTACCAATGGAGCCTCATTTTCCCGAAGGCTTCCTCTTCCTTGTAGAGCTGCTTTGCATAGATTGAGAATGCTATGAGCTGCACATTTTGGAGGGTACTTTTTATACAGGTAGTCCTCGAGTTTCAACAGTTCGCTTAGTGACTGTTCAAAGTTACGAGGACACTGAAAAAGTTGACTCGTGATCGTTTTTCACAGTTACGACCTTTGCAGCGTCCCCATGATCAGGTAATCAAAATTTAGCCACTCAGCAACCGATTCATATTTATACCCATTGCTGTGTCCCAAGGTCATGGGATCCTCCTTTTGCTACTTTCTGACAAGCAGGGGGAAAGCCAGATTCACTTAACAACCAGGATACTAACTTAACAACTGCAGCGGTTTCATTTAACAACTGTGGCAAGCAAAGTTGTAAAATGGGGCAAGACTCACTTAACAGCTGTCTCACTTAGCAACAGAAATGTTGGGCTGTTTGTGGTCATAAGTTGAGAACTAACTATACTTCAAATTCCTGGCTGTCCTGTAGTTTTTCAGTGTTTGTGCCTTTGCTTTAAAAGTGCTTTAAAATAGGGCTTACTGTAGCTAAGTTGTAAAAACCCAAATGAGCACTAGATGGCAGCAAATGGTTAGGATTTCTGTTCCTCTTTGTTCTGATCATTGTCATGTGAATTCCCCCCCCCCCAATGTATTCCTCACAACTCATATACTGTCACCCTGTTTAAATCAATCCTTCCAGGGTTAATAAAACGAGGTTTTCACTAAGTGCTCCTTCCTCTGTAGCTTAAAGATTAGGCAATCAGCACATACAGCATTTCATACTGCTATAATGCTTTTCCTTGGGCAAATGGTTGTGTTGCTGTGACTAGTAGCTGTTGGCATTGTTCACTGGAAGGGATTTGTGACTTGTTCCAGGACAGGAAGTAAGCAGCAGCTGCAAGTGGAATTAATCTGAGAGTTGGTGACTTGCTGAAATGAAACCGAGGAGATATTTGAAACTATGTCAAATTGAGTGTTAGTTGAACTGTAGCTGCCACCATCAGCACCCAATTATTTTATTTTCCTCTCATCCTTCTTAGTCTCTGCAACCAAATTTTAATGTTGGTACCTTGGATGGTATTAGTTACACCTTACTTAGGAAAAGTACGTGTGAGACAAACTTGTTGGACAGGTTTTGTCCTGTCTTCTAATTCCAGATGAACCCTTACTTAAGAATATAGATGTATGTATGTATGTATGTATGTATGTATGTATGTATGTATGTATGTATCATCTATCTATCTATCTATCTATCTATCTAGCTATCTAGCTATCTAGCTATCTAGCTATCTATCTAGCTAGCTAGCTAGCTAGCTAGCTAGCTAGCTAGCTAGCTATCTGTTATTGTATTTGTATGTTGCCCATATCACTATTAAATGACTGGTAGTCTTATTTTTTTTAAAAAGATAAATATAAAACAATTAAAAGCTTAAACTTGGTTTCACTGAAATCGTCAGTAGATTTTTGACTCTAATAGTACCTAAGAGGGTGATTGTGAAGCAGGACATGTGAAAGTTTAGCAGAAGTGATATTTCAACAGCTTAGATGTTTCACTGTGCGATCTTTCCCAACCTATTACGATCCGGGGAATGATGTAGTTGACAACAATACCTTCAGTCTTCACCCAACGGATTTTGGAATTACTCATTAGCCTTTTTTGATCTTGTTCGGTCCATCAAGCTGAGTGCTGAAAGTTGCCTTTGTAGTTCTAAGTGTTAAGCTTGTCCCGACTTGAACTTTTATGAAAGAAAGACTCTCGAGTCCAATTTTTGAAAGTGAAAGGTTTACTTTTACTAAAAAAAAAAAATGAAGTGGTTACAGCATAAGCAAAGCTGGATCTGAATATTCCCGCGCAAAGCCTGCATTTTCCCCTCTTCCCTGGTCCTCCCTCCCCCCTTGACCAGTCCCATCAGGGTACAAGGAAATTTGAATCAGGTGTTTTGGGAATGGCTTTGAGGTTTGGCGCCTCTTTGGTGGCGTTCTCACAGCTTCGTCCTTGATCAGCCAGTCTGCTCTGGATTGGCTGCTCTGCTTCCTGTCACCCTGCCATTCCCCCCTCCTACCTCTACCCCTTCCCGCGTTTTAAGGCAGGATGCCAGCGAAGCGAAGAATGCTGAAGATGGCAGACCTGACACTAAGATTATTCTGGTTGAATGCAGAATTTGAATCCTTCTGTTTTATCTACTGCCCCTGACCAGCGCCGCTGCAGCATCCTTTCTCAGCAGTCTGGTAGGGTTCTGGCCTTTTGTGATATCTCCTATCTGACCCCACTCTTCTTCCCCTGCAGGCTTAGTAAGATCACCAACCGCTTGACCCTTCAGCGAAAGAGTCAGTTCATGCAGAGGTTGCACAGTTATTGGACTCTGAAGAGGCAATCCCGCAATGGAGTCCCCTTGTTGCGGCGACTCCAAACGCACTTGCAGTCACATAGGAACTGTGAACAAGGAAGGCCGGCTCCTCCTCCTCCAGTGGCCAAGACTGAGCAGGTACGGCTTTCACTTGAGTTTTCGGGCAAGGGTGGATGAAAAGGGCACGGGTGTATATGTCCCTGCTGTGGAAGAGCCCTTGCTACCACTGGGTGCACATGGCCGAGAGCAAAGGCTTACGTTTATTGACTTAACCAACTGGTATGGCTCCCCAACTCATAACCGCAGCTAAAATGTATCCACGAGATAAAAACAGTCACACAGGAAAGAGCGTAGCGTGACCGAGGCCCGACTCGCTTTCAGTTTTCCAGCCATTCCCAAGAGTGGCCCATCCAGCAGCCTCGCCCAATGGCTCAGTTTATCCATCGGTTTCTCTGTGCTGGATGGGTTGCAGCCACGTGGGCTGGCTTGGGAACCGTCATGAGCCTTGTTTGACAAGGCTTCCCAGTTCCTATGGAGGGAGGAAAATTTCAGCTTTCAAAGCAAGGTGAGCTGGGGGATTAGCTGCCAAGGACTTGTATTTTGCAGGTAGGAAGCCCCATGTTCAGTCTTGGCATCTCCTCCTAGAAAATCATGGAACGGGAGGCCCACTTCCTCTGAGATCCTGAATACCGTACGGTAGTTGCTGCTCAATGGTAGTTAGTGAACCCGGCAGGGTAACTTGATGTCAAGTTGTTAGTGCCTTTGCACTTTCCTTCCTTCCTCTGCGACAAGGGAGGGAGGGAGAAAGCGAACAGTTTCCCCGAAAGTGGGCCTGCCACATTCCACCCGACACGGCTGTGGCTTTTGCCATGCTCCACTTCCTTTTGGCTCCTGGCAGCAACTCTGGCAGGAGCTGATTTGCTGCTGTTCTACAAGCAACGGCAGCCTGGCATTTGGCAGGGATGCCCCTTCCTCTCATAGACTCTGATGTTCCTGCAGCGAGATAACACAGAGGATAAGAACTGGGCCTTGAAAGAGCAGCTGAAGTCCTGGCAGCGCCTCCGCCACGACCTGGAACGAGCGCGCTTGCTGGTGGAGTTAATTCGCAAGCGGGAGAAGCTCAAGAGAGAGACGGTAACTGTGCCAGGGAAGGGAGTTGGGGTGGGGGGGGAAGGCATGGGAGTTCTCCTCTGAATGACTTTGGGGATGGCGGGAGAGGGGGGAAGGGGTAGTAGGATGCTCCCAAGAATACCTGCGATTGGAGGCTTTTAAAGGAAAGGAGATGGCGGATTTTTTGCACACTAGGCCTTTTTTAATTGGAGGATGACACTGACAGAGAAAGGCATGACGTTTCCCTGGGAGGATAAAGGAAACCGCAGAAGCCAATGAATTCAACCACAAAGAAGGGTTTGCTTTTGGGGGGGAGAAAGGGGCCATCTGATTTGCATTTAGAGCCGTGGTGGCGCAGTGGTTAGAATGCAGTATTGCAGGCAAACTCTGCCCACAGCCAGGAGTTCAATCCTGACCAGCTCAAGGTTGACTCAGCCTTCCCTCCTTCCAAGGTCGATTGTTGGGGGCAACGTGCTGACTCTGTAAACCGCTTAGAGAGGGCTGAAAGGCACTATAGGGTGCTATGTAAGTCTGAGTGCTGTTGCTACCTAGAAGGTGTTCGTTCTCTACCTGCTGCCGGGCTGTTTTCCATGATGCAAACAAAGCCTGCTCTGGGCTGTGCATACTACAACTTTTCCTCTCCTTGGGGAGTGGCATTCAGCCAGTGTCCCTGAGGCTCAGCGCAGGTTCACTTGGGGGTTTCACAAAAACAAGCTCAGTCGTATCAGGCAAGCTGCCCAAAAGCCAGCTTGTTTATTAGACTGATAATGTCCTTGCAGCTCATCATTTCAGGTGCTCGGGAGCACCTCTGAGGGGCTTATAAGCACTCAGGTCACAAAGGGTGACAAGAAGGCTTTGGGGCTTGTTACCTCCCTATATAAATAGAGAGCAGCCAGTTGATACAAAAAAACCCCACCCCCTGCGGTTAGAAAGTTTGAACCTGGCTTTGTATTGGGTTAGAGATTGCACCCTTTCCCCGAAAACAAGACCCAACCGAGAAACAAATCCCAGCATGATTTTTCAGGATGCTTGTAATATAAGACCTACCCCCCACAAAATAAGTCCCAGTTAAGATCCTCAGCCAGACAGATGCATTTAGTGCTGTATTTCCCTGAAAATAAGACATCACCTGAAAAAACGAGCCCTATAATGCGTCTTTTGGAGCAAAAATTAATATAAGACCCAGTCTTATTTTCGGGGAAACACGGGTATTTATCAGGTTTGTGGGCACAGGTCTCAGGGATGGAAGCTGAGAGTGAAACCGATAACGGATTTGCTAACGTAAGACCAGATGCTGCTTGTGCCCTTTGAGCTCGGCCTCCCTTTTGGGCCCTCCTGCTTTCTAACCCCCATGGTGATTCAGAGGCCCCCAAGGTAACAACGGCAAACCAACGTGGTTTGGCCGCCACGTGCTCAGTAGCACCTTCCACTTCTCTTCCAGATTAAAATCCAGCAAGTGGCCCTGGAGGTGCAGCTGACTCCGTTCCTCATCCTCCTGCGCCGGACCCTCGAGCAGCTCCAGGAGAAGGACACGGGCAACATCTTCAGCCAGCCGGTCCCGCTGTCTGAGGTAACAGAACTCTACGAAGTAAGAACCCCCCCACCCCCAATTTATCTTTTGCTCTGTTCCCATCCGGCCGAGGGGCTGGACTTGCGGCTTGCTGGTCCTATTCTCTGTTCAAGATACTCCGCACACCCTCGTGGCTAGGCCCAAGCAGTTATGTGTGCCACGCCGGCTAGTAGCAAGTCCCAATACGGAATGTGAGAAACCTTAGAGAATTGGGCCTGTTGGCCTAAAACGTTAAATCGCTGCTCCTTGTTTCATTGTGCAATCATAATGTGGATTTTCTCATGGTCCTGGAAGAGAATGCTTGGGCTCAAGTGGTTTTTTAGTATGCATTTCTATTCCAAGTTGTATGTTTCACCTCATACATGGCATGTGCATGAGCAGTAGATCCCTCAAGTGCTCTTCCTCTTAGCCCCCGTTCTCAATCCTGGCATCAGTGGATGATCATTGATTCTAGCTTGGGCCCTGTTGTCAGAACGAAAGCACCATTCAGGGGTCCCTGTCTTGGTTTCTTATTTATTTACTTTTTAAAAACTTTTCTCCAGGAGATCAAGGCAGCGTAGACAATGTTCCCTCATCCATGTTTTGTCCTTCAAGAACATCCCCGTTAGGTAGCCTGGGCCAGGAGTCAGCGATTGGCCTAGAAGTCTCTCTCAGAACTAACTGGACTAAAGGTGGGCTTTTTTTATAACCTGGCTCTTTTGGGTTCATTTCCATCACTTCCATCACCATGCCACCCAGATACTGGTTTGGATATTGCTTTGGTTCTGGTTCTGGCTGAAGCTGGTATTTCAGTTGGAGTTTAGGTGTAAGGTGATGTTTCTGGGGTCATCAGTAATCGCAGTGGAAGGCTGAGAATGGAGAGGGAAGGTTCTGTGAAGGAGCAGAAATACTGTGGCTCCTCCTTGAGTATCCCAATATTCATGCCTCCCTAGATTGGGTGACTCTGGATAGACTGACATTGGTTGTCCCAATCCTGGTTGACTTTCAAGTTGCTCTAGAAGCCAGTCTTCCTTATGAGCAGGGTAGATCTGCTAATCTGTGCTGTATAGTCCAGCCAGAAAAGGCTGTTTTTTTCTACTTTCCTATTTCCCTCAGGTGGAATTTATATATGACCTAGTATGACTATTCTGCTTCCTTTTCGGACCCTGTTAAAAGCAAAAGCTTCCCCAAATTAACTTCATCTCCTGCTAGATCATATGGTCCCATCCATACAGGTTCCTTGACAACAGCTTAAAAGTGGCTTACGAATGAAAGCAAATATACCTGTCCCAGGATAATGTTGCAGGATCCAATCGGGGTTGGTCACCGGGACCAGGGGTTTAGTCTTCTGAGCTTTTGGACTCGTACTAGAGCCCATCCTCAGGGTACATCTCTCTACCAAAATGGGTCTTACCTTTGATTTCTTTCAAGATGTGACTTCCCAGTCTAGTCTGTAGCCCGGGGATTTCCTGCTAGTCTCCCATCCAAGTGATAGACAGGTCTGTTCCTGCTTAGGTGTTGGGGATCAGCCAATAGTCTCCCACCTACCATAGGCAGTAACCAATGAATGGCTGCCTAATTTGCTAATAAACAATTGAGCCCACCCTCCCCCTGGAATGCCATCAGCTCTCAGAACTTTCCCAATTACATTCTTATGACCCATGGTGGCGCAGTGGTTAGAGTGCAGCACTACAGGCTCTTCTGACTGCCGGCTGACTGCAATTTGGCAGTTTGAATCTCACCAGAATGAAAGTTGACTCAGCCTTCCATCCTTCCGAGGTGGGTAAAATGGGGACCCAGATTGTTGGGACAATAGGCTGACTCTGTAAACCCTTTAAAAGAAGGCTGTAAAGCACTGTGAAGCGGTATATAAGTCTAAGTTCTATTGCTAGTGCTATTGTAATCTTGAGACTGTTCTCCAGCCTTCCCCAGTTCAAATGCCTTCAGCCTCTGCCATTCCTAACCATGGCAACTATTGTATTTAATGGGAGTTGGAGGTGGCTGCTTCATTCAAGCAGCAGGCTTTGCACAGCTATTCCCCAGGCCCAGGTAAGCAAGCTCCTCCTGCATGGCTGGTGATGGTAGGCTAATCATCAAATTGCTTTAGGTGGATCAATTATCTCTCTCTTTTTTTTAATTGCTGGGTCATAACTTACAGGTGACGAAGTCAAGGGGATTGCTTTTCCCATGGCAGGGAATCTCTGAGCACCTTGTTGCAATAAGTCTGTACAGTATTAACTTTTAGCTGATACCAATGTTTTCCCTGTAATATCTGAGAATCTAATTACAGCCCATGGATTTGGTAATAATCTCCTTTCACCTGCTTTATTTAGGAGAATTTTTTATTGAAGGACCGTTTTGCTATTTACGATAAAGAATTAAGAAGAGAAGACTCTTTTTTTTCCCTTTGTCTAAAAATACAGTAAATGAAGCAATCCCCCTCATTTCAACTATTAAAAACCTGCAAATCAAAATACAATAGAATTTCAAAAGACACCATCTCTTTACAGAATCCGTCAAAATGAACCATTGGTTCAGAGTTAGATCATTCCTTCTGTTGGTTGGAGTGAGGAAACCCACTGTGTAACATCATTTTTTTTTTTTTAAAAGAGGATGGTTCCCCCCCCCCCCTTGCTGTAGCAACCATTGATTTTAAAATGTCCAGTTTACCTCTCTGTCCTTTCGCTGGGGAAAAAAGTCAGCATGCATAAGATTTGGAGAGCACCCAGTAATTGAACGAGCTGTGCGTTGAGACTGAGAAATCAGAGCCAGAATAGGCGGACCTCTAGATTATGAAGAATGGAAAAAAATTGAGAACTTCTGTTTCCAGGTGGATTAAGGATGGTCAACCCTAAGTAGCTAGTTTTTAAGGTAAAGGTAAAGGTTCCCCTCGCACATATGTGCTAGTCGTTCCCAACTCTAGGGGACGGTGCTCATCTCCGTTTCAAAGCCAAAGAGCCAGCGCTGTCGGAAGATGTCTCCGTGGTCATGTGGCCGGCATGACTAAACACCGAAGGTGCATGGAACACTGTTACCTTCCCACCAAAGGTCCCTATTTTTCTACTTGCACTTTTATGTGCTTTCGAACTGCTAGGTTGGCAGAAGCTGGGACAAGTAACGGGAGCTCACTCTGTTACATGACGCTAGGGATTCAAACTGCCAAACTGCTGACCTTTCTGATCAACAAGCTCAGCGTCTTAATCCACTGACATCCAAAAATGAGCCTGCCTATTTCTCTCTGACGTGCTGCATTATTCCCTGAAAAACAAGCAGTCCTTTCAAGATATTTTTTTTTAAATGATTTTTGCTTGCTTTTGGGTGTGTTTCTTGACTGCCTGTTGCGTCGTGTCTTATGTGCCCACAGGGAACGGCAGTACCCCTTCTACGTGGGGACATTGCTCCAGATTGGGCAAGAGCTTTGAAGCCATTTTGAAGGCTGCTCTAACCTCTTCTTTTCTTGGAGCAGGACTGCCCCAGAGGTGGGATCCCAGCCTCTTAGCCTCCCTGCTCTTTTGTCCACTGCAGGTCCCAGATTACCTGGACCACATCAAGAAACCAATGGACTTCTACACAATGAAGCAGAAGCTGGAGGCCTATCGCTACCTGAACCTGGATGAGTTTGAGGAGGACTTCAACTTGATAGTCAGCAACTGCTTGAAGTACAATGCCAAAGACACCATCTTCTACCGGGCAGCTGTTCGGTTGCGGGAACAAGGGGGTGCAGTGCTGCGACAAGCACGCCGGCAAGCTGAGAAGATGGGCATTGACTTTGAGACCGGCATGCACTTCCCCATGGCTGGGGAGGAGGCTCCTCTGCGAAGCACCGAGAACGGTTAGTATTCATTCTCAGAGGTGGGCAGGGCCCTTCTGGAGCAACAGTACGGCCAAAAATCCTGCTCTAGTGTATTAGAGCAGAAGAGCATGTAGATGTAATACTGCCATGCATTGGAGTAAGGGATATATGAAAAGGAAGCTTAGAACCCTTCTGCCTGAAATTCAGTTCCAATAAAATGTCAGGCGGAAGGGAAACATTTAGGGATGAAAGAGTAGAGAACATTGGGGGAGAGAATTAGCCCAGGCAACAAAAAATAGTGTGGCAATTTATTTCCCTGTGGGTGCATTCATCGTAATCCATCTTAAACCAATGCTTCCTTATCTGCCTTGGCCAATCAATGCAAAAGATGGAGAATGTAATAATGTTCTTCTTAATGGATGTTTTTTGGGCTTGTTCATTTGCTTGCTTGCTAAGATGATGATCATTCAAATGATCCCAATCCAAACTCAGTCCAGACTTGTTTTGAATTCTGAATCCAGAAATGGCCAAACTATTTTAGTTTATTATAGATTATCATGGATCTTTTCCTCCCCTCTGCACGTTTATATAAAAATCTAAGAAATAAAGAGAAACACTAACAAAACAAGTGGTTTGGAAGCTGTTTAAGAAATTTTGATAACACTGGAAGAAATAGGAGTGAGCATAGGTTGTGGGAAGCAAGACCATTATGAGATAAACCGATAAAAGGTAACTCACTAAAGCTAATTAAGTTACAGAATACAGAATAAAAAGTTGGATGGGACCTTGGAGGTCTTCTAGTCCAACCCCCTGCTTAGGCAGGAAACCCTACACCACTTCAGACAAATGGTTATCCAACATCTTCTTAAAAGCCTCCACTAATGGAGCATTCACAACTTCTGGAGGCAAATTGTTCCATTGATTAATTGTTTTAACTGTTAGGAAATTCCTCCTTAGTTCTAAGTTGCTTCTCTCCTTGATTAGAAAGGAAAGCTACAGTGTTTTTATACTCAAACCTTGAGGTCAGAATACTATCCTCTTCCACATGTGGTTGAATTACAATTCCAGGATTCTTCGATGCTAGACTTGTTGGCTGAGACAGCTGGTAATTGTGATTTAGCAATCTCTGGACAGCCACGATTGCTCTGCATCTTAGCTGTGCCTCCAGAGTAGAGGTTCTGAGAGGCCGTTCCGCTATGAGAAGGACCACGAGAAGGAATGGTTTGTCCTTTAGCTGAGCTCAGGATCTTTTAAGTCCTCGATCCATGACCACAATTGAGACCAAAACATCTGTTGTTAAGCGAGAGGGTTGTTACATGAATTTTGCCCCCATTTTACCACCTTTCTTGCACCAGTTGTTAAGTGAATCACTGCAGTTGTTAAGTTAGTAACAGGGTTGTTAAATGAATCTGATTTCCTCGTTGACTTTGCTTGTCAGAAGATTGCAAAACCTGATTACGTGATCTTGGGGCACTGCAAATAACATAAATTCGAGCCAGATGCCAAGTGTCCGAATTTGGATCGTGACTGTGGGGATGTTGCAATGTTCATAAAGTGTGAGAAAAACTGTCATAAGTCACTTTTTTCAATGCCGTTGTAACTTTGAATGGTCACTGATAGAATGGTTGTTAAGTCGAGGACTACCTGTATTAAGAATCTGAAAGCCACCACGTGTGAGTTGGGCGGTCTACACATTTAATACATTTAAAGGAAAAACATTAATTGAATTCACCTCCGCATTAAATTTATATGCTGCCCGTCTCACAGTCAAGTGACTTTGGGCGCTTTTAAGACAAAACGAAACAAAGATTTCGTAAAAGCAGATGTTTCCTTTTTCCCTCAGATGAGGAGCGGCTGCTGCTGTCAGAAAACCAAAAGCACTTGCCTCTGGAAGACCAGCTGAACCTCCTGCTCGAGCGTCTGCCCGAGGTGAGCGCCGGGAAGCAAAGCGTGAGCCGCTGCCGGCAAATCAAGATGATCAAGAAGGAGATCACCGCCTTGCGGCGCAAGCTGGCACACCAGCGGGAGACAGGGAGGGATGGGCACGGCCACTTGCCACACATCATTCTGCCGACCCATAACCCCTGCGAGAAGGACCCTCAAACCGACAGCGCCGCTGAGGAGAGCAGCAGCCAAGAAACCAGCAAAGGTTGGTGGTGAGGCTAGCAAGCCTGGAGCTGCTTGTCCCTGTGCGGAATTGGGGCATTCCTTCTCTCTGGAAGCTTGCAGGGGCATCTCTTGGGAATGCAAGAGTCCTGCCACATTAGCCTAGTTTCTCCCGGAGGTGTTTTTTCAAAAGGCAGCTTGGACTTCCTTTGCTTTTTTTGTTTGTTTGTTTGTTTCATGAAGACGTTTCACTTCTCATCCCAAGAAGCTTCTTCAGTTCTGCTGAAACAGGGGTGGCTTAGATCTGGCCTGCGAGGCTGCCCTGGAAACAGAGAAGGATCAGCTCGCAGTGCCTCTGCCAGTGAAAATGGAGCTTGTGAAACCGCCTGGCCCCCCCCCCCTCCGGGCTCCCATG